AAGGGGGCAGACTGATGTCTGCGAGCGTAACGGAGCGAATGTAGCGAAGGAAGCGGAGCGACCGAGCGAAGTGAACGGAGTTTTGACTCTATTTATTTATTTTTTATTTTGTAAATTGGTACCACAAAATAGGAAAAATTTACACCGAATTAAGGAACTTCATTTGATCCTTGGAAAGATGATTATTCTTTTTTCTCGTTTTGAATCGCTATTGCGTGCATATATATATAATGCAAACGAATTTCCGTATAGACTACCAAGATTCCCCTGCCTCCATTTGACCTCATATCATTCTTTATTAACTAATGTAGAACAGATGAATGAATGGTTACTTAAGAGATTGATATATAAAAAAATTGTATAAATATGTCATTATTATTTATTATATGTGAGACATGAAATTAAGTGCGAACTAGTGACAAAATATACTTTATAATTGCTATTATATTAGCTGCAATACCATAGTTTTTAAACCCGGCCCGGAAATCGATCCGGGCAGGTCTCCGAGTTATCGGGTCAGCGGTTCAACCGCCGGGTCACCGGGTCAATTGCTAAACCGGATAACTAATTCTAAAATCTTTAAAATTATTTATAGTATTTTTGACATATAAATATACATAAAAGTAACAAAAATAAATATTTTGCATACAAATTTGTACATTTAAATGATAATGATATTGAATCTCACAATAAATATTTACTATGTCATTATATAACCAAATAGCCCACCCAGATCGGTTTCGGCTCCGAGTTGGTCGGTTCCCGGCTCGACCCGCCGGGCTGGTCCGGGTCAGAAAACAATGTGCAATACTACTATTTTATAGCATATGATGGTAGTGATATGATATTATAATTAAGCATAATGAATATTTGTTACTAAGAGAAGATAAATGATCGAATAAATAGTTTTTACTGATTTATCAGATTAATGCAGGGGTGTTTCAACTGCAAGTGCTCGTGACTGGAAATAATTTTTTAATTAGATTTGATTTATTATATAAATAAATTAAGAGATTTTTGAAATTTTGATTTATTATATAAAAATAAGTACTCGTTACTGATTTATTTTATTTTATTTTTATTCTTTTCAAAAAGAAGTTTGATAAAGTATCTCCCATTTAATTATCATGCATAAGTATTTTGTATCATAGAAGTATTTATTTACAAATTTTGATGGAAAAATTAACCTATATAAGCATAATAGATTGAGATCTAAAATCAAAATTTAGGATTTAACAAATCTTAATCAATTTGGAATTTGTTTTTATGGTGCACATATATCATTACATATGATTATTGGACAGGCATTTATTTATTGAAAATTAGGTTCTTAAACACATTTAAGCAAAGCAAGAGACTGATCACTCTCCATCACATTTTCCCCCTTCAATTTGTTGTCTGGAGAAAAAAAAAAAAAAAAAAAAAAATCTTCGAAGGTTTTTGCAAATAATTACAATGTAATGACGAGACATTTAATTTAACTTAGTCAAATCAATTTGAGTTTGATTTGACATTCATAGATTCATAGTTCAGTTGGGTCAATTTCTTTTGTCAGCATTTTGATACTTTTATCTTTCATTGGTTGGTTCTCTATTATTTTTTCTTTATTTTCTAAAAGTCATTTTTATTAAATCTAGCTGTTGGGTAACATTATTTTTTTATCGTTAAATAAATTTGTATTGATTAAAGTTGTAAGTCATACAATTGAGGCGGTTTTCAAGAAGGTAGTGGGTAACCATAAGTCAGTTTATCACTCGTAAGAACAAAAATAACGAGGACAATGTTCTCCTGCAACCAAGATCTTCCAAATGCTTAAGCACTTGAATAATATTGATTTAGTTGAAACTTAGTATACCATATATAGGTGAAAAATAGTACAACCTCAAGAACCAAAATTATTATTATAATTATTATTTTTTTCATCATTTTTTTTTT